CCTACAACAATCCCCGCTGCAATACCCACACAAAAGCCACCAGCTTTCAAACCGTCTCCCGGCTACTGCTAATCCCTCACTTCCACTCTCCTGCCTTGACAAAAACCTCTCCATTAAACCTCGACTTGTTGTCCAGTCGCCCTCCATCTCCTTCACATTTGCCTTAGGGTGTCTTTTTATGTTCGTTGTCTTTTATTTCCTATTTTGATAAGTCATTGTTGTAACCTATTTAAATTTTAACAATAATATTTGCAATTCTATTATGGTTTGTGCTAATTTCGATATCACCTAAAATGATGTCATTTGATATCAAAGCCTTTACATCCAATTTTTTTCCTAAAATTCAAAACCTAGCGTATAAACCATAACTAGATCCTCCACGTAAACCTAAACTTAAACTTTATCCTTATACGAGATCCAACACCTAAGTAAAAACCCTAACTCGAGAAGATGTATCATGCTGCAAGGAGAAATCCACAAAGATTGGTTCAAGAACTTTCTATGGAAGTATGCAATGAGAAGTCCTCCAATTATAGTGTAGCTTCGCTGAGTTTTAATGAAGACAAAAATGGCGAGATTACGCAATTTCATATGGATGACCAATATAAGACAATGAAAACCCTTTTAACCAAGAAGCCTTAAGCAGCGAAGAGCCAATGTCCTGTTGATTGGGCATTGAATATAAGAGAAGAGAGGGTGACTTTCGACTAAACGTCATTTTGTAAAAAGTATTGCATCTTGACAAGATAGTTTGGCTGGGACAAGACTCTTTTCTCAGTGAAAAAGAACTACTATACAAGACTGATATGAAATACGACGAGACATATTCAGCAATGTATAATATGCCACTTAGCTAAAACCCTTGAAAGTTTGCAAATTGCATTAAAATTTATTGAAAAAGGTTTTAGTTCCACCAAAGGAAAAAAGAAGATGATGAGATAAAAGTCATCTAGCACATATGTAAGAAAATAAAGCAAAGCAATGTCCCACTACAAGTAGTCAAAACATTACGATCAAATGATATGAATCTATCAAATTTCTAGGAGAAGTAATGCTCCAAATGCAATTTTTTATTCGTGGAAGACCATGTAAGGAAGTTCCAATCCAACTCAATAAAACACCCAAAAACAAAAGGACAAAAGGAAATGGTGAATCATAGTTTGGAAAATCTCCTCGAGTGTTTTTTGAGCAAAAACATCAAGTAGTGTGATGTAATTATTCCACAATTTGAATTTACTTACAATAGATCCACTAGTCAATCCGCAAGTCACAACCCTTTCGAGATTGCATACAGTTGGAAACCTTTCACACCATTAGAATTAACTTTGATACTTCCTGCTATTGAATTTAGCACCAATGTAGTGGCAAGAGTCAGAGAGATTCGGGCACTAAATGAGCAAGTAAAAAAAGTAACCAAACAACATCAGAGAGATTCGGGCACTAAATGAGCAAGTAAAAAGGTAACCAAGAAAATACAAAATATTAGAACAATCAAACAAGTTAAGCAGCAAACAACAAAGCCTTAATCCCACTATGTGGGGTCGGTAAAAAGGACTTCCCAGGAGGTCACCCATCCTAGTACTACTCTCGCCCAAGCACGCTTAACTGCGGAGTTCTGATGGGATCCGGTGCACTGGTGCTGGTAGGGATCCGGTGCACTGGTGCTGGTATGGTCGCACCCAAAATATTAACCAAGAAAATACAAAATATTAGAACAAGCAAACAAGTTAAGCAACGTTATGGAATTCAAGAGGATAGATTTGGTGTGGATTAGATCAAAGAACGAAAGGTTTTTCGTTGCGCTCGAATACAAAGTACATTGGTTAGAAATAAAGTGAATAATCTTAAAGCGTTAGATATGAGTGTTCACCATGCCAAAAAATAAAAGAAAAAGTTTCATTTGATAATACAAACAAAGGACTGATAACTCGATTAAGATTATTAGGAAATAAATAAAAAATGAATACAAGATTGATTTAATGAGGGACTAGAACATCTCCAATAACTTCTAGATCGCTGATTTGTCATCGTTTTATGAGGATCCAAAGGTTTCCAAGGAAGAAAACAAAGACACTATTACCCCAAGGGAATGAGCAAACATTCTAGCATCTATCCAGGCGCACAAAAAAGGAGGTCGATCAGACCCTAAATTTTCCCAGCCAATTCAAGTTTTGTAGACATGGTTGGGCCGATCCTCTTACAAGTATTGTGCAGCTGAGATGAATTTTTCTAATGTCTTGATTATTAAGCATTACCATTTTCTGATTTCACCTTCCCGTAATCTCCATTTCCTCGAGCACAAGAGGTCAAAACAAAGAGCTAGAAACTTTTGGGTGGCATCCTAAAAGGGGAAATGAGAATAGGAGGAAAAAGACAAAAAAAAGAAGACAATAATGAGAAGGAAAAGAAGGAAAAGGTAAGGGAAGTCAAATTTGGGGACATAAATTTGATGTCTTCTATTATTTTCAACAGTTATACTTGATTGGGAATATTGTAGGTGAGGAAAATTTACAAGGAAAGGTCATTTTGTGGTGGTATATGAAAGGAAACGAGCTCAAAATGAGCAGAGGGAAATATTTCATCACAAGACTAACCCTACAATTGAGATGAGATACTTAATTCTGAAATAAAAAGAAAATAATTTGTAGAATTAATACTTTCAAATGCTTTAAACTTATTAAGTGTATGCATTCAGAATATTTTCATGTTGAGCATGTGATTCCGTTTGTACTATTTAATTCATTTAAATGATCAACCGGTTATTTTCAGTCATAGAATTATATAAAAATACATAACCAAATACAAATATTGAATATTTCATGATACATTGTGTTTCTGGTGCATGTTAATAAAGTTGATCGTTAATAGGTATATTCACGATTAAGGAAGAAAAGCATACAAATACATTCCCAGTTAAGCAAGAAAAGCATAAAAAATAATATAACAGAAAAAAATGATAAAAAAATTGTCATATATTTTATGATAGATAAGAAACTATAATGATAATCTGCGCAATGGGAAATAAAAATCGGACTAGATGAGCTTATTAAAAAAAAAAGAAATACTAACACTTGATATTAAGTATCATAATAAAATAAAAGATTTGTCAAAAGGAGTTGTATTTCTCTCATTGCCGTTGTTGTCTCCGCTGTAGTGCCCTCCCTCAACAGCTTGCTGCCTGCTACGTTGCCATCACCGCTAACTGCTAGCCGCTCACTGTCGTGGACTTTAATATGTTTATTTTAAACTGAATTCTTTTTTCTTTAAACCATACCAAAAAAAAATGTTATGTTTTGTATTTATTTCACATAGAATCAAATGAGTCCAAAATATTCTAAACAGAATACATTATTCTAAAACTGCATTCCTTTTACATTGCATTTATTTTTCAACAAACCAAACAACCTCTAAACAATGTTTAATGATTATTTTTAATAATAAAAAATGGTGAAATTTTCGGAGTAAAATCAATGGGCAAAGAAGAGATGGGCAAGGTTAGCAGTCCATTAGTCTTTCTAAATAAGCATAAAGAGTACAACCTTTGCAGCCGAGAGGCAAGTAAAATCAGGAATTGAGCATGTTAAACAGCACATACGCCTGCATGCCTCTGCAAAATAAACCAGCAAAAAAAAACAGCAATTTAATATTGGCATACAACAAACAAATAATCGAATCAAAACAAGTTAAGATAGGTAAAAAAATATTTAAAAGAGAATACAACAAATTCGGAAAATGGGCAAGCTGAATAAACAATAAGTATCAATTGCAACTAGCATTCACGAAAATCTCTCTGAAATTCGAGCTAGTAAGCGGGGTAGCCAACTTTTCAAAGTTTATGCTAGTAAGTGTTGTTGCCAACTTTCCAAAGTTTACTCCAGAACAGTAAGAGGGTTGTAAAGTTGCAAGTATGCAGTTAAAAAATCCACATACTTGCCCAGATCCAGAACGGAGGTTAGAAAGGACAAAAAATTTAAAAAAAAATGATATTTAAGCATGTTTTAACTAATAAAACGGTATGGTCATTTTTATTAAAACGGGTAAAATGATAAAATTGAATGGCTCTATTGTAGCAATATTGTAGTGAATTATCTCATCCAGAATTGAGATGTAGAAGGTCAAAGAAACTGAGAAAAACGGTCCAACATTTTGCACTAACTGTGTGTAACGCCTAAAATTTGAGAACCAGGTAATGTTTGGTAAATTTTATAAGTAGCCCAAATTTCCCACCTCTCAAAACTTAACCAAATTAATTTTATAGAATTCTATTCAAGAAATTGATCAGTTTCATATAAAGCCCTACATACTAATTATGTTTTGATTGAAAGACATAAAATTCTAAATTTATAAGTATAATTAAATTAAATAAACCTTAATTTCCCTCTAATCCCGCCTCATTACTCTTCATAGTCGACCTTACGGTACTTTCGAGAGCATGCAGCCGTTGGATGAGATCCAACGGCTATGATCGTTTGTGATTTTACTTAAGTACCACACTCCCATTCCTCTCCCTCGTTTCACTCGCTCAGTTGTGATCCTTCACTGTAGAAAGGGGGTGAGTGGCATATAGGGAAGCTGCATAGTGTCGCGCTCCCTCAACTCTTTCGTATTCTCCTTCCCGCGGTCTACGCGACTCGTGCACTGTAGCAAAGTCGCGAACAAAGAGCAACCGCGCGAATTGGGCACATAGCCGAATGCCTCAAACGGTATTTCAAGCTTTGGGAATGAAATCAAATAGTATGAATCCCTCTCTCACGTCATTTGAGACACTCATTTCCTTCCTCTTGCTTTCATTTTGACTTTTGCCTCAATTTTTGAGCATTTTTGGTTTCTGATAGCCGTTGAAGGCACCGAACTTATGTCAAAAATGTTGAAAGTAGTTTGAGAGCTTTTGTAAAGTGTTTAGCACAAAATCAATGCAGGGACAGGAAGATTTGATATCTTAGGACGAGTTTGAAAAATAATAGGCAATTTCAGAAGGGCAAATTTATACCGAGAAGCACATTTAAGGTATGTTTTAGGTTAAATCACGATACAAGCTAAAATTTTATGAATTCCTACGACCTCTATGAATTCTCATGTTGTTTATTTGAGGTGGTGGGCATAAGACGAGCATTTGGGAACTCATCATAGAGCTGTTCCATCAACTTAAGTGAAATAATCTTATGCTAATTTAAAAAAAAATAACCTTCTGTAGATTTTATATAATTTTGTATTCGAAACTGGTACATTTAGACTTCTTGCATATTGTAGATGAATATCTGCTTGGAATGTACGAATATCAATTGATTTCTCTCACGATACATATGATGTTGTTATTCTATGATACATGTGACTATGTTTATTAAATAATTGCCTAAAGGAATTCGTTAGCTAAGTTTCATACATGTGATATATGAAATGTCTATCAAAATTTGTTACAGGTATTATATTTTAAAAAATTTCACAAGAGATGTTATGGGTATATTATTACGTGAGTACTTGCAAGTATGTTGTACAATGTGATATTCACGACGCTTGGTGCTCATGCAGTGACAAAATTTTGAATCGCTTGATCAGAATATAATATAGGGAATCGTTGGCATTAGATGACTATTGATTACTGTTATGTTGTGAGAGCAAGGGACAATCTTTATCGATATTTTTTTATGGCTTTAGGGCAAGGTGACAACTCATGATGACATGATATGAAAATAGTTGAAGCATATACATTTACAAGTGTCATTATTATGAAATGACATTCTTATGATTACATACAATGAACATCTTATGAACATGCTTAATTATACTTATGATTTCATGCTTACGACTATACATAATTTAAACAGTAGTCCTGATTTTTATACTACCTGCTTTCTTTTAATATTCTTTATGATTCCAGTAAGTTGTGAGTTGTATGTACGTATATACAGTTTCATATGAGCATGCACATAGATTCTTTTTTATGCATAAAATCTTATTTTAGTTTTGATTATTTTGATAAGTTCGTTGTTTCTCACTCTACATTGTTGCTTTCCAAGTAGAAGCAATGAGTATCAGAGCGAGTAGCCACGTGATTTATACAGTTTTTGCATTGTACAACTTTGAGAGATTGTACATCGTTTGGGTACGTACTTTATTTAGGTTGGATTTTATAGCTCTGTATAGTTTTTATGTTTTGAGGGTTAATTTTTTACACTTCTGAGTATGTATATAAATGAATTATGAAAAGCAATGTATCATATAAGTTTGCGGCAATCTAGTTAGACCATTCTTTATGATTCCAGTAAGTTGTGAGTTGTATGTATGTATATACAGTTTCATATGAGCATGCACATAGGTTCTTTTTTATGCATAAAATCTTATTTTAGCTTTGATTATTTTGATAAGCTCGTTGTTTCTCACTCTACATTGTTGCTTTCCAAGTAGAAGCAATGAGTATCAGAGCGAGTAGCCACGTGATTTATACAGTTTTTGCATTGTACAACTTTGAGAGATTGTACATCGTTTGGGTACGTACTTTATTTAGGTTGGATTTTATAGCTCTGTATAGTTTTTATGTTTTGAGGGTTAATTTTTTTACACTTCTGAGTATGTATATATAAATGAATTATGAAAAGCAATGTATCATATAAGTTTGCTCATCACATATTAGATCCTGATTATGCAAGTCAGGGCGAAGGTTGATGAGAGTTAGTCTGACTAGACCCTTACAGAGGGGGGTCAGTTGGGGTGCGATAGAAAGTGGTATCAAAGCATAGTTATTAAATTAAGAGAATGATGAAATCGTGTTGGATTTCGAAGAACAAGAACATTTATACAGAGCTATAGATGGATGAATCTGGGGGGAGTATCACATACAACTTATGGTATTATGCATGCACAACATGATTATTATATGATAAATTGTATTTGAATAATAAATTATGCCAATATAAATGAATATGTTTGAAGGAGCATCAGAAAGTACTGAAGATCAATCTCTCAAAAAGACAAATCTGAAAATATTTTGAATAAAAATGAAAATCAGAACAAGACAAATGAGAATACCAAGTTACTAAGTTACGGGTATAGTGCAATTGATTTTACAAGAAGTTGATAAAATGACTGTCGCTGAAAGATCTTCCACCAATAGAGGGCATGGATCTGAAACCAGCAAGATGTTAATGTTACTCGGGCTCATAGAGATCATGATGTGCAACAGCCTACACATGTCCGACCACCTTTGGACCAATCAATTGATCAGACGAGTCAATCATCGAGTGAGGAATGACAAGTCTACACATCCAGGAGAAAGAAGAAGAATGGAAACCTACTTAAGCTCAGGAATCTGATGATTGATACTTTCGTTACTTCGGGTAATGGTACGCACCTTACCAATTTGTTAGTCGGCTCCTTTCCAAGAACTATAGGCAGAGGGAAGACTAAAGTGGGACCCGTTGGTGGTTTTTTTGTTTTTTATCTTTATGTGTCTTTGCTTTATTGGGATTTAGTATAAGTTCTCATAAAACATATCTGTAACTTTTCCTCTTTAAAATATTAGCCCTTGTGTTTTCTCTCTCTCTCTCTCTCTCTCTCTCTCTCTCTAATACAACTATTTTAACTTTTTAAAAGTAAAATTTTCTTTTTCATGCCAACAGAAAGACGATATATGGAAAAATTAAAGTTTAGGTGTTAGGTGTGTAAATGCATAGGAATTGAGTGGTGTATGTAAATCTTCCTATCTATATATATATATATATATATATCTGTGTGTGTGTATTTTTTAATAAGCCCAAGGGCTAATATATTAAAGAGAAAAGATACAGATAGATTGTATGGGTGGGTCTAAAATTAGGCACCCAACCCACACGATACAACACACCCAAAAAAGTTAAAAAAAGAGTACATATAAAAATAAAAAAGCTCAAAACACCCGGGCACTGAAAAAAAAGGAGGTCATCGAAATCTTGTTTGGCCTTTGGTCCTAGTTCTCGGAAGGAATCCAGCCAGCAGATTGGTAAGGTGTGTATCATTACCCGACAACGTAACCAAAATATCATCCATACGACTCCTGAGCTCAAGCAGATCTCCATTCTTCTTCTTCCTCCTGAAAGCGTACCTGAAAGTGTAAACCTTTCATTCCTCATCCGAAGAATCAGTTTGACGAGGTGGTAGAATTGAAGCAGAAGGACTACCAACCGTAGTACCCACAATAGGTTCTAATATCTGTGAAGTACGGGTTGCTTCTACACCGGATACTTCCTGAAGAGGGGGAGCTGCGAGGTTCTCTTGATTGTCATTCAGAACACTGTCCTTTGTAGGTAATAGTCCACAATAACACTGCAATAACACGGGAATAACACATCAATAAGACGGGAGGTAATAGTCCACCAGTATTGTTTTCTATGGGGTTTAAAGGTGTCAGCATCACATCACTCACAGTAACAGTAACAGCAGTTTCATGGGGGGGCCACAGGGGCAACAATATCCTCCTCAGGTGGAACTAAAATGTCCAGAGCTATGGAGTTAGACCCATCCTTATTCACTTGAACCTTAGCTTTCAAATTATGATGAAACTTGTGACATTTATCAAGGATATGCCCAAACATCTTACAGTGGGTACAATATGGGGGTATGTGTTCCATAACGATTTGTTGTCAATATCCATTATGAGTTGTGCCCAGCCAGACTTCAGTAGCATCATATAAAGTCATATCCCTTTCTACAAGTATTTTGGTCATCGAAGATCTGGTTAGGTTGAGAGTAGACAGATCTAGCTTTAAAAGATCCCCAAGGATGGCCCCAATAAAGTAGAGAACCTGATGGTGAAAAAAATACAACTTGAGTCCAAGTAGAATAAACCATACCAATACAGTGGGAGTTTCATGATTTGAATCGAAATCAGGAGACCACTTGAGTAACTTCATTGATTTGTCTGCGACATTAAGATATTTCTTAGAAAAAATTTGGGTGTAGTCTTCAGCCACTGTTAGTTCAATCAACACATGTCTCGCATCCGTGAGTCCCACTTTTAACTTCC